TGGATATTAACACTTGCTTTTGTGTGTGTGTGTGTGTGTGTGTGCACGCGCAGTTTGTCACTTTTCAGTCCAGCTGACGAAGCGTATCTGCAACATGACAAACTCCTGGACGTGCCCTGAGTGCGACAGTAAAAAACTGATTCTGCTGGTGATTATTTTTGTCGTCCATGCTGCCTCTCGCTGGTAAAGTGGCATTAGACGACTCTTTTTGCTTTAACGTGTCATTATGGATTAAGTGCTGACTGCACAGTGTAAAGGCTGTAATGCATTTAGATTGGTTGCTTATAAACTTTGCTTTCACTCTGCAATTCTCTCTGCAACTTAATTCTATGGAAGAAATGAGGAGCGCAATTTAAGACACAAAGAAAATCTGTTTGCCACAAGACAGGAGGAGGAAAACGCTTTTATTTTCCCAAGTGTCTTTTACCAGGTAATGAAAACACTGGACTGTGCAACAACTGGTGTCATCGTTGAAATTGTCAGCGGAGGAAAGGACACTTAAAACCCTAGTATTTATTGGAACCGTCTCTATTGTGTAGTGCCTTTTATTTGTAAAAACACAAGATAATATGATACCAACTCAGTTTGCTTTATGTCTAAAACAAATAAACAAACTCAGAATGTGTTTTCCTCCTGATGCTCCCACACTTAACTACCTGTTACTGTGAGAAATCCTGAAACTATGTTGTAAAATAATCTTTCTTGTTTCCAAACTGGTGTTTTTGATTTCCTCCAGTGTCGTTGGAAGCTGCCGCGCCCTGAGGACGACACAAAGTGCCGACTACTTGGAGGAAGTTGTCTATTTCCTCTTCAAAGTGTTACGTGGTAAAGAAAGTGGTAAGATTGTCTCATTCATATATTTGCAATCTCTCCTGCTAAGCACTTGCTGTGATGTTGTTTTGATTTTTGCTCTGAAACTCACAGAGACCATCTGTCAGTTGAACCGCCGGCCCTGCACTGTGCTGTCTTTATTCTTTGACTTTCCCTCCTGAGTTTCTCTTACTGGTGTTTTTCTTGATTTTTGTCACTGAAGCCCCGGTGGCTGTCGCTGCACACACTTAAACTGCCCACTCCTTCATTTTTTTACCCTCGAAAGCTCCGTAAACTTTCTTCATGGCTGACATTCTGAGAGTCCTGCACCTAAAGAACAGCCCACCGCAGCATAGTATACATCACAGCCCTAAGGCCAGATGTATAAATTATTTTCCATGCACTACAAACATGCATACGCCATTACCCACACATAATATGCTATTTTTAAAGGCATACTCCATGAATACTTAGGACAGTACACAGCTTCGAGCTGCATGTGGTATGATGAGGAGGAGATTACAGTAAATATAAATATAAAGTGATTAGGGTCAAATAAGTTGGTGGATGTCAGGAGTAAATCAAAAGCGTGTTACTAAAATTACATTTTATATTGGTTATTGAGATGAGGCATCATTTTCCCAGGTTTCTATTTCATCCTGAGTTGATGAAGAAGAACTATGTTTGTGTTTCAATAAGAGCTTTAAATCAACCACTGACCATTTTTGCTGACTTTTAACGATGACGACTGAGACCCAGCATGTGATGATGGTTTGCAGGCTCACATGATAAATGACAGGTATGGGGGCTATAAATGTCAGAGTCTCCTGCGTAATGGTTGTGTGTATTGACAGCTGCTCTGGTGCTGCTGGGGAAGATGCAGCGGGAGAAGCTGCACTTCTTCTGACAGGTCTACAGAGTGTTGGGGCGGGCACGAGTTTTGGCATGAAAATTGCTTTTTTAAGGGCATTTCTATGTCCATTAATGGAAAACTGTGGGAGTTGAAATGGGCCTCATGTTCACCCACTTCCTCTGTGATTGAGATTTATAGGGCAAGGCAAGACAAATGTATTTGTGCAATGCATTTCATACCAGTGGCAACGCAAAGTGCTTTACAGAGTTCGAGCATAAGCAAGAAGCAGATTTAAGACAGAATAAAACCAGTAAACAAACATATTTACATACTTAAATGGCTGAATGCAACTGTAGCACATGCATGTGCACTAAATCAATATTTCTGAGGTAGTTGAAGGCTGGTTTTTTAATTGACTTCATGTGATAACAACAAGGTTTCTGAAGGAGAGCAGTGTCTTTGCATCTTTCAGCTGTTTCACCAAATAACATCAATGACTTCAGAAACTGGGGAAGCATCCAGCTACTAATCTGTTTTATACGCTTTAGCAGAGAAACTAATGGGCTACAGTGGCTTGGCGAGACAGTTTTTTTTTAACTGTGTCATCTGCATACACGTGATAAGTAAACCAGATGCTGATATTGGCAAATGGAAGCATGTACATTTCGAACAATAGAGGTCCGAGAATCGACCCCTGTGGGACTCCGCATGTTGTTGTGAAGCACTCTGATGAATAACTGCTGATACAAAGTGGTCTCTTCAGGATACTGTATGACGGACCACATGTCCACCGTAGTCAGCTGTAATCAAGCAGCAGTGAGGTATGATATCTAAAGATCGTGACTTTACCAGAGTCCCTGCTGAGATTAATGTGATCTGAAACCTTTTGAGTTGTCTCGTTATCATGTGGTGTCTGAATCCAGACTGACGAATGCAAAGAGAACTGTGAGTTCTCTAAAAATAGCTTTCCCAAAGATCTCACTAATTAATGACATGTTTCACAAGGGCCTGTGATTATTCAGCACTGAAGGATCCAGATTAGCCTTTAGTTTCATACAGTTTTCAGGGCTTTAGGGAAAACTCCGCAGAGTAATGAACTATTGACTATCTGCAACACATCTGTTGCCCGGCAACTAAAAACCTTCTTAAATAAATCTGCGGTCAGCGGATCCAGAGCGTTGATTTGAGATGAGGAACAATTTCATTGACAGTTGTCAGACTTATGGCGTCAAAATTAGGTATTTTTACTGCAACTCACTCCTTGGAACAGAATCGTGTACAAATCTGACACGAAGAATATGAATGTGTATTTCTGACCCCCAGGATACAGTTTTTTTCCTGCCTCAATATGCTGCCTCAGCTCCTAACATATATAATAATGTATACTAATGTCAAAGCAGGACAGGTTTAAAAGGCTTTGGTGTTATTATATATGTAAATTGGGTAAATAAGTATGTTAAAGCTTTCATTGCAAAGGGAGTTACTTAAAGCTCCTCTTGTAGTCAAACACTTAAACAAAGTGATTAGTGAGACAAATTATACCAATTTGAGAAGATAAATCACTGCAGCGTTTGCTTGTTTATTTGCTTCTGACTTTAACGCTTCAGAAGAAAAAACTGTGGAAGTAAAGCACATCTGTGCAGGCGTCAAATAGTTTGTATGATATCATAACTGATTTCAGAACAGTGGAAGAAGAGTCAAGTGAGAGCAGACACGTTAACTGTCGCCAGTCACCGAGCACAGATCCAGGATTCTTCACAACACACATATGCACAAATGTCCAAGCCCAAGCTACTATCTCGCCTTTGTCATGACTGTATATAAAGATGGACGACATCTCTACACTTCCTACGAGCCAAAATATATATAAAATATCCCGGGTTCAGGTACCACGGTCTGGAACTGTCGGAGCCAGATTCTGCACAGTGGTGATTGTGGTGTGGAGCCGTGAAGTCTCATCAATCGATCAAGACTTTTCATCCAGCTGTTATAGCATCAAATTTATAGCATCAGAAAAATGTAACACTTCATCAACCAAAAAAGTAAATTTAAACCATCTTTACCACAAATGTATTTGGCGTGTACTTCGACTTTTAGACACGGTACACGCTAAATACATTTTTGGTTAAAACTAAACTTATTAGTGGAGTCAAAGTTTCTATCCGTATATCTGTGTTGATTTTGCGACAGCTACCATCCCATACAATCTATTGTCTGCAGAATTAAGATACGACAACTTCAAATTTGAATGAATCGTGGAAGAAAATAGGATCCAGGGATGAGCCAGTCGACAAGTAGCAGTTCATTGCTGCTGTTGAATAGATGACATCATTGACGTGTGACGTTAACAGTCAGTTCCTGCCATGATTATTTTTAGGCTTTATATTGGAACAGCTTCTTTGTTCTTACCTGGAGGATCATAACAGGATTGGCTTTTCAGGAGGAGAAGGCTATAGCTCGTCATGTTCAAGTGGTCATTATGAAGCCCCAGCGGCAACAACACACACACAAACAGATACACAACACACACACACACAGAGATACACAACACACTAATAAAAAATGCTGTGACCTCTCTTTGACAGCAGTTAATAGCTGACAAGATGTGGAGGTGAAGAGGTCACTCATTCCTCAGGGGAGATTGCACCCTGGTAACTTGATTGCATTTCAGCATCATAGGAGAGATTCGACAAATTGGTGATCCCAGAAAGGTAAAGACTGACGCAGGCATCTCCTCAAAACTCTGTGACAACGTTGCAGTGGATTGCACAAAGGGAGTCTGTGGCACGAGATCCAGATCTTTAAACGTGAAGCACTGCCGGGGAGCATGACAGGCTTCACCGTGCAAATGAAAGCGATCTGTTGTGGGGGCTATCGGAGAGGGACTGACAGATACAGACACACACCGGAGATCTAACATCCCCGCGGCAAACAGATACCATCGGCCACATAGAGCAGATTGACAGCAGATGCCTTGATGGGCTGCGCAGCTCCGTTGTGTGATTAACTAGTGTGCACACAATGAAGGCTCTAAATATGCCAAAGCTTAACACAGCAAACAATGCTGTGTACACCCACACGCAGAGAACTGTATGGGGAACAGAGAAAGCTTGAATCACCCACACAGTGGGCTCTGTACACATGATCCACATGCATGATCTGTCTTCTCCTCACACCCCCCTCCTCCCTCCTCTCACATCACAACTTCCAGTGAACAAGATCAGAAAAATATGCATAACAGAGGAATGTAAAAGTCAAGAAAGCAAAACAAACCTCCCCCAAAAGTCACACATTCACATTCAGAGACAGAAAAAAAAATGTTTGATGAAGGACTCACCCAGAAAAGAAGATTGAAGAAGACCATCCCGTATCGCAGGGCCATCATGCAACCCTCGGCCATCCTGCAGCGCCGCAGTTCTAGGAGGAATATGAAGGAGAGGTCCAGGTAAAACACCACATACTTCTTCCCCTGGGCGTAGCGCCCCTTGGACGTTTGCGGCCCCTTTGTCGTGTGGAAGCCAAACGCAAACGGCGGCCGCTTGTACTCAAACTCTCCACTGAAGCGGTGAAAACCAGAAGTGAACGGTGGCGAGTCGGGTTTACTGTCCAAGGACGGACTCCGCCGGTACGGAGTCTCGTCTGTGCTCGAGCGTCTCATCGTAGAAGTGGAATGAGCTTTTAGAGTCTTTAACTGTCAACTCTGTTTGTTTCAGGTGCAATGTCCACAGTGAGGGACAAGAGTTATTCCACGGAGGGCTGAGAGAGGACCTCAGTTATCCTCAGAACAAGTCTGACCCCTGTCACAACCCCAGAACTGCTGATTCAATTACACCCCCGAGTGTGATCACACTTGATCTGAGTTAATCTGTTGAAGATAATGTGAATCCATTCCCTTGACTTGTGTTCCTCTCTTTAATCCTACAGTACCACTGTATTCAGCAGGAGACTTTGCATAATCCTGCTGCAACACCTGTGTAATTCTGTGTATTTAGGACATAATCCCAACACACACATACACATCTGCACATCTCTGTTTCCCTCCCTGTAATCCCTCAAACACAGGTGTCATGCTCTTTGGAGATAAACCGGTTTGCAGTTTCATCTCGTAACGCCTCAATCAGGTAAATGACCGGAGGGCTCCGGCTGCTTTGGGTTGACAAAATGATCCAGAAACCTCCTACCTGGTATCATGAGAAATTTCCCCAGCAGGTGCTGTCCGCAAGGAAGTCAACAGCACCCCTGCTTCAGCCAAAATCAAGTTCTACGCAACTCGGTAAGAGATCACACATCCACTGAGAATGAGTGAGGCTGTGCTTTTGCTGACATGCATTAAAAAAAAAAGGAATAAAGAGGTGAAAGGAAGGGATGCTGTTATGAATTAGGGAGGAAGATAGAAAAGAAGCATGAAAGGATGAACAACGCATGTGACCATTCTTTGGCTTCTCGAAATAGTATCCCTGTTGAATTCCAATTTCCTGTCTCTGCCCTAACTTGTCCTGTTGGTGTCTAATAAGTGTCGAGAGGTTTCTCTGCCTCTCTCTACAGTCTATTCTTCACACATCAAGCAAATCACCCTCTTCAACTCGCTCTAATTTCCCTGCTGCTGCACCTCCTCACACTTGGGTCCTTCTCTGCGCTCCGCACTCAGAGCTGACGCCGGTTAATACATTTCCGCTCTCATCAGTGAGGCAAAGTGTGCGGTGTCCCTTCTTCTCGTCTCCCCCCCCTCCTCCGCCACAAGGTTTCTCTTCTCTAGGTGGGCAAAGAGATCAGGGTGTCCACCGGGGTCATGGCCAAGCAGCGAGAAAGAGGAGGAAGGAGTGAGAGGAAGAGACGGACAGAGAGAAGAGAAGCTGGAGAGAGACACTGCAGTGTTTGAGCGCTGGTCCAGATTTGCTGCCTCAAGCCTTCCTTCCTCTCTCTCTCTCTCTCTCTCTCTCTCCACATGCACACTGTTCTCTTTCTCCCTCTCTCTCTTACCCCCTCCCCTTTTCTATCCTCTCTCCTCTCACAAGCTCCGACGCTCTCCCCTCCGCACACACAATCTCAAACACCCCATCCCTCCTCGGCAACTGTCCCCTAAACCTTTGGCAGCTCAAAGGGCTGGAGCAGTCATTCACATTCTGGCCACACCCTAGAAGGAAGCGCATCCAATCAGTATCTCACAGCCCCATCCTCCCTCGTGCACACGCCAACCATGCCCCACCATCTACCAGATAACACGCACGCACACAATGCACGGAGCTCGCACACAAAACCTGGTGTGTTGTTAACATAGGACTGCTGAGAAGCCTGCTGCACTTGCGCTAGTGCTTCCTCCTCCTCCTCCTCCTCCTCCTCCTCCTCCTCTCTGCCTCCTGCCTGGAACTCATTCTACATGCAGAGGTTGTTCTTGTGCAAAACCCAGACTGCTCTCTGCACGCTTGGCTTCAGCGATGTTTCTCTCTCCCTCTGAACTTGGGTCACACAGTAGCCATGTAGCCGCACTGG